CAAAGCGCTTTTGAACTTATATAGTACTGGTATTTCTTTAATATAACGTGGCAGATAATTTAGCAGTTGAAGTCCTAACCAGTGGTCAGAGAATATTACATAAAGGTGTTTCCTTTGCCAATCTGTCATCTGTGTCACTTGGAGCACATTCAGAATGATACAGTATCGATCTTGTGGTCTTCCTGCGTTCCCTACTTCACCTAGTTCACAATTTCGTATTGTAGAATGTACTTTGCAGCTGACCAAGAGTGAAGAGAAATACGTTGAAATGATGGCTGTNTCGATGATATAAGTATTTTTATATCAGGAAACAGTGTTAATGTTGTCCAAAGGAAAATAAATGCAACAATAAATAAACTCACACAGTGGTTTGAAAATAACAGATTAATTATTAATAAAGAAAAAACGATAGCAATATCCTTTCACCAGATTTTCAAAACATTGAAGAAATATTGTATGGTGTTGGGCTTCTTTCTGCAGAAGAAGTACCAACACCAAAGCGTTCAGAACTCCATTTAACACGTAAGAATGATCAACAGAAGTGTTATGTTTTAAGAGGTTTTGAATAAGTTGAGGATGATTCATAGTAAAGTAAAGTAAATGAGGTTTGGTCTTACAAAGGAAGGACGAATTTTTGCAGATTTTAAAACAATCTCCTATGATGTATGTGTTGCACCTGTCATAGCAGATCTTTCAATGAGTTGTGTTTGACCTGAAAGTTCATATTAATCAGTCTTGAATTTGTGATTGCAAGTGACTTAAAAGAGAGTTTATTGCTGTCATGATATAAATTCCATTATGTAAATCAGAATATTTCATTCATCAATTGGTAGTGAACCTTTAGTGTTAATGTCACTGAGCTCTTTTATTATGAACATACGGGAAACTTTCGAATTTCTGTATTATTAAATAATAATTGTCTTAGAATATGAAGTATGTAGCAGTTTGTTTCAAGTAACTTTCTTGAAGAGTAATCTTTATCCCAGTGTGAACTTTGTAAGTTTAAAGTACAAACGCAGTTCCAGAAAAGCATTGGGCACTAAGAAGTAGATTTTACTTAACAAAATTAAATAATTTTTGTGTGTCTAATGTGCAGTAACTGATGGTTAAAGTATTCTTTTGCAGCTGAAGAGAAGCGACTTCTTCAAAAAGAAGGTGTCAGTCTGCCATCTCATTATCCTCTCACAAAGGATGAAGAACGTGAGCTTAAAAGGATAAGAAGAAAAATCCGTAATAAGAACTCGGCACAGGACTCACGCAAAAGGAAGAGAAAATACATAGACGGATTGGAAGAGAGGTAAAAATCTCATATTATATTACCAGGGATG